ACATCATTCACGAGTCCCCCCTCCACATAATTTAATTCCGTTACATAATCAAACGCCCGTAACTGCTGGGACGGCCGTTGCCGGCGCTGCACATAAAATTCATTTTCCCGTCGGTGCCACACAAATCGGCTCAAATGGCCTCAATGTGGCTCAATATGCGGCTGTGATGCAACAGCATTATGCCAGCGCTGCCGCCGCCGCACGGGAACTTGATAACAATAGTGACTACCAGGATAATGAGGATTGCGATAGTGAAGTCGGGAGTGGCGGCCACCAGGACGACAACAGTGTTTGTAGTAATGGTGAGGTGAGATTCATTTTATATGGGCGGGGTGACCGTTAGATTCTGAAACAGAAATTTGTTGGTCATAGAGCAAAGAGTATACTCTCTAGTATACCTGAGCTCATATTAGATATTTGAAAGCCGATTATCTTTGCGCTGAAGTTTTTACCATCAAAAAGCTTCCAATTACAAACAGTGTGCCATTCGGAGACGAATGCAACTCAAAATTCAATTATAGATGATACAGAAACTATGCCTCTTATTAAGATTATTTTGCTTTACTTCCCAGTAAAAGCACCCATACGCATAGATATACAGAGTGTCACCTATGCTAATTTCAAATTAAAAACTGCAAGTACATACCTATGACCGTTACAAACTGACTGCTGACTAAAAAGCATACATTCAATAAATCCCGGTCAAAACAGACATTTCATTTTACATAATTTCGCATAACGCTAAAAATTGCCACAGTCCTTACCGCAGAACTCCACAGGCGAACACCGATGGCCTGGCAACTGTCATTTTGACAAGCAATGTGATTGCAAGTTTTTGTGTGTGGGCACTTTGATGTCTTGAAATAAGCATTTGCCGCATGACGCCACCTGACAACATTCTCTCAATTTGGATGTTTAAAAACATTTAAACCTTTAAACAACTTGCTGAATAATTTCCTAAAACGTAATCATAATTAATACAATAGGAAACAGATTTTTATTTTGATTTAATATCAAAATTTCATCGATGTTACTACCGGCACGCTTTCTTTCAAATGAAAATATGGCTGTCAAACTATCGAATTGCCTGCAATAGATGTCAAACAATAAGCGCTGGCTTATATTGTCGCCCATGAGAAATTGGCGGTCTCAAGTGGAAATATATTTTGTGACATGGTTATCACGACATCAGTGTTTTCGTGTGGAGACAGGGCCTTAGGAAAAGCGCTAGAAATATAGAAAATGCCAAAAGTTCCACGTATTTTGATTTTTAACGTTTACGCTGAAGCTGTAGCATACATTTAGGAACTAGGTGCTAACAGTGAGCTGGCAATGGTTTACAACAATTACAATTTTCCAACGATTGAGTTTTGTTCTGTTTCAACGTTAACGACTGGGTTTTGTTTCGTCAATTTAGCTCTGAAACATAACGAAATTATTTTGTTAAATTTACACATTAACGAAATAACAAAATGTCGTTTCGTTTGTTTAGCATCCCTGTTTAAAAGCCATAGCGTGTTTGTAAAAAAGAACTATAACTCAAAGTCGGATTTTACAACTTACGCCGCAATAATATGCTCATTAAAATCAGGCTTCAGTTAAAAGAGATGGAAACATGATTATCCAAATTAACTGAAAATGTTGATAAGCCTGGATATACATATATACATACGTATGTATGTATGTATGTTTGTACACACATATGTAAAAGGAAATATATATGATAAATTTAAAGTTTAAGAAGTGAAGCATCCAGAAATATCTAAAGTTTAAGTAAAATTTTTTCAAAGCTTACTCTCCCAATTTAAAACTTGCAAAGTCGTTTATAAGGTAAAAAACGCCTTTTGACTTGACATTGTACATAAGTATCTACATATAAAAAAAAATATAAGTGCCGTTTTCATTGAAATGAGATTTTAATCATTGAAACCTGCTCTCATATCGTTTTCAAAAACTACATCGTGTATCTTTCGTTCGTAGAAATTCACCTTTAACTACAAGATGGACGTTTAATTACGAGAAAAATGCAACAAACTGATATTGTTTACCTATGACCTTATTTGTAATGGTGTTACAAATTCTAGCTCTATACGAATTTTTATAAGTTTACTACCATTGAAAAGAGGAAAACGACATACATTTAAATACGCCCTAATTATCTCTATTTCAGTAGTTACATCTTTTAAAATGACTACATTTCATTAATCTGTTGGAAAATATTAAAAAAATTAAACGAAGTTGTAATTTTTGTCTTTGGGAACTTTTATTTCATGCGTAATAACTTTACACCAGTCACAAGAAGATGCCCCACCAGTCACAACTTTAATATTTTTTTAATATTTCTATGAATATGACAAAAAGCCTATTTTTTATTGAAAACGGAAGCTTATAATTCATATTTTACAACACAAAAACGTCGTTCGTGAAGATTACGTGTTTTGGCTAAAATTCATCTTTGAGTGCACAAGGGTAAAATAGAGTTCTTTTCAATGTCCCACCAGTCAATGTCCCACCAGTCACATTCATTCAAATGATAGTTACATAAAAATAAGAAATCGTTTGGTATTTTTGTTAAAGCAATTTTATGCATCAGTAATCGTTTTATGTTAAAAGTTATCTTTCGCTGTTGTATATTTAAGTTCCGAGAACATATCTAAAATTCACAATTGATCACATTCTGGAGTAAAATGTCCCATCAGTCACAATGGAATGGTCCTACTGTTTTTAGTCTATGTACTTAATTTGACCGGACTAATAACTAAATATACAAAACACAGCGAATACCTGCATAAAGTACACAAAGTTTTTCAGGAAAGATTTTTTTTGTAACAGCGAAATGTTAAATGATGTTTAAAAAACATATTTTTCCATTACTTTCTTTCAATTTTTGGTTTTATTTCGTTAAAATAAACAATTGTGAGCTGGTTGTTGAAAGTTGAGTCATTCGCTTTGAAGAAATATTAAAATAAAAAGCAAATCAGAGAGAACTTCAACCTGACAGTGTTCTTACATTTGCAGAAAACAGCTTTATGTTGTATGATTTACAAAACATTGGGCGCGTTTCTAAGAAACGCACAGTTGAGTAGTTCCGCTCAGTTCAACAGTTGGCAACTTTCCGCCATTTTTTCAAACGGAAAATTTTTACGCTACCTGAACTCAACGTGTTGGGCTTAGCCTAAACAGCTGATCGTAAAGACTTACGCCGCTTGTATTAATTAAATTTAACGCCGCTTTGTTAGGCGGCAGTTGCAAACAAATTTATTCTATTTTATATTACTGATGTTATAAAGTAACTAAAATATTTTATACTAATACCACGTTTCTAAATATATGTTTTTAAGATGTTTGCTATATAATTATACACTATTTAATTCATTGTAACTTTGAAAGATTTTTTCAAGACGGCGGCAGCTCAGCCTTGAATTTTAAATACTATCGGGGCAACTATCTCTATTCATGGGCGTAGCCAGGTAGGGGCAGGGAGGTGCTCGAGCCTCCCCCCCCTAACTTTCAAATTTTCCTTATATACTATATATAAAATAGTACCCTGAAATGCCAGCTTAATAGGGTCGAGCCCCCAGTGCTCAGTGCTGGGGAATTCAATACTTTGCTGCAATATAACAAACTGCTAACTAGAGTTGGAGTTTTTAGTTCACTTCTAGTTCGTTCAGCTCAATGAACTAGCTCTAATTGAACTAGTTCGATAGTAGAAGCTGAGTTACAGACGAACAGAAATGTGTGTTTTATAACAAATACATATAAAATATTGGATTAATCTTTAAAGTGAGAAACTATTTTTTTTCTGCAAGTCGATGGTCCTCTTCTATAACGACACAATTCAGTCGTCTTCATTCATTTTTACACAAATTGCACTAAACTATGTATAACACTAGCGGTATTCTCGCAATCTTTCAAAGCCCTTGCACGGATTGTACGGTTTCTAAAGCTGTCCCATATGAAAATCAGGTTTCACCGTGCAATCCGTGCAATCCATGCAATCCGTGCACCGTGCAGGGGCTTTAGAGACTCGCAAAATATCCCTATTTGAAGTGTAGACGGAGTTATTCACAAACGTAGTGAGGTGGCAGTGCCCGTGGGGACTTAGTATTAAATCGCGTTTCCACAAAAAACTGTCACCTGAAATTGCGCATGAAATTGCCTCAACTTCGCAAATAAAACTCTGAAAATTGCTTATTGTGAACAATTAATGAGCTAAATGAAGAAAAACAAACGTCAATAACATGTAAATATAAATAGGACAAACAAACCGAGCAAAACAAAACTAACAAAACAACAACAAACTGTCATCGAAATTGAGATGGTCGTGTAAACAGCTAATATTTCAAATTTAAATGGAGTGTCGAAATTGCGCAATTTCGGGCTCGTTGAACAGACTTTTACCAAACTCTGTCTAAATCAGTGAATCAACTAAATGTTCTCTTCATTCTCATCTAACGATAGGCTGAGGAAAAGGCTGAGGGTTTTGGACAGTAATTAAATGGATGTTAGAAGAGCTGATGATTAGTCATATAGAGAGGTGCTTACCTGTGCTGCTCTTGTATGTGGACGGGCCTTTAGTGTAGTAGCGATCGGGGGAAAAAAATATGTTTGTGTAAAAAATGCTGTATGCTCTTCGTGTTTTTAATTTTACTGTAAGGCTTTCTGCTCATTGGTCGTCCAATCATAGTTGAGTCATAGTTATCGTCATGAAGCAACGATTACATGACGATTACACTTCTGCACACTTGGTCGTGATATTTCAATTCATTTGGCGTCTAAAAATTCACTTGGAGCAGGTATTTTCTGTTTTTTTTGGTTGATATTTTCGCGAAATATTTACAAAAACCTGCAATTTTTTAAATATAGACTGTGCTGCAACATTTCTAGACGTAATTTTCCAGTAATATCTCTTCTTTTCTTTTCCTGGAATGTGTTTTGTGTATGCACACAGAGACTTAATACAATTTCGTCATATTTTATAGTTAAAACGCTCATATTTATTAAATTTTAATGCAATTATCCACTTTTTAATAATTTCCACAGATTTTATGCAAAAAAATACTAATTTTTATACAATTTTAATGCAAATATTAACTTTTTCACTAATTTTCCCCCATAAAATGTAAACAAACAATGCGTGCACAACGATTAGCAAACGACAGTGCCGTACTTATCCGTTTCTGCATCTTCTACGATTTGCCGATAACTAGCCGATAACGACAAGTGTGCAGATCTCCTTTGAAATGCATGTGCTCGGCTCAAAATTTCAGGGCGAGACGATAACGCAACTATGATTGGACGA